CACCCAGAATCCCTGCACCTGGGGCACACACCCAGAACCCCAGTACCTGGGACACACACCCAGAATCCCTGCACCTGGGACACACACCCAGAATCCCTGCACCTAGGGCACACACCCAGAACCCCAGTACCTGAGAGCCTAAAGCAGGAGGACTGTGTGAGATATTTACTAATTAATTAACTGGGTTTTCCCCTAAATATAAATACTGTATTATTATCCTATATCCTGTATTGCTGTATTATGTACTATATCACATAAAGCTATTTCTTTAAGGAAACTTTGAGAAAGAACACAAGCCACTACAAACACATACCATCCAAACCTCATGAGCCTCTCTATGATAAGGCTGGGGTTTGGTTTTTGTGTGTTTTGTTTTCCTGACAATTGGGCAAGTTCAGCTCCACAGCTGGAGAAGGCTGTTGCATCCCTGCCCCATGACGAGCGTGGTCCTGGGTGCAGGAGACCTCAGATGAATTATCCACAGTCCTGGGTCTCCAGCATCTTTGCTCTGCCTACATAACTATTCAGAGAGGAAGATGCTTTGATTAAGAGACGCTCAAAGGATACGGTCTGGGGGAAGAACAGATCATTAAAGGCTGCCCGGAGGAGGTGTGAGCAGAGTCCAGGATGAAAGGGAGCTGGAAAAATATTCTCTTTCATCATTTCACCTTCTGCTAGGAAGCAGCATCCATCACATTTCTGAAATTTTCTTCCCCTTTAAATACTCTACAGAGGCCTCTCACACCTCCCTCCAGTGACAATCTGGGACACAGGATAGCTCCCCTTCAACAGGGCTGCTGAGTTGTCTGGCCTGAAGTGTGGGGAGCTGTTAGTCACTGTCCCCACCCCACCCCACCCCCACTCCAGCCCCTCCTTGGGGCTGTGGAAATGGGCGGTTGGAATAAAAAGGAAAGGAAGTCTTTTCTTAGTTTTGTGAGCAGGGATGAGTTATTTGAGAAAAGAAAGGGGTTTTGGTTTGGTTTTTAATCAACTGCAAGGACAAATTTCTCAATATTAAGGGAGGGAGGAAGGTCAGGGTTTTGGTTTTGTTTTGTTTTGCTTTGCTTTGCTTTTTCAGTTAACTATAAAGCAGAGAAAGGAGCAGACCGTGCTCATCAGAATGCTGCCCCTTCGGCTTTCCCAGGGCTTTCATCAGCTAATCATGCTCTGTACAGATCGATCCATGTGATGCTCATTCTCTTTCTGCCCGTGTGTGTGTGTTCTCCCCTTGGGAAGTAAAGGAGGAAGAAAATTAGTGGGTTTAGCTCTGTTCCCCCTCTTTCCCAGACTTCACTGTCCTCTGAATCCCTGGGAACTCTGGGTAACTCTACAGGTTGGTATAGTATCTGGGAGAGCTATGGAGGAAGAGGCAGCCACTTCAAGGAACCCGGGTCCATTCCATTCGGTTCCAGCATCTGCCTTTTTTTTTTTTTTTTTTTTTTTTTTTTTTTTCCCCTGCTCTGTCTGCACTTCCACGGAGATGTCCCTGCTCACCTGACTGGGCTTGGGGATACATTAGTTACTTTTCTCATCGATGTAACAAAATGCCTGATAAAAACCAAATTAAGGGAGGGGAAGGGCTTGTTTGGGCTCAGTTGAGGCACACCTAACATGCCAGGGGGTCTTAGTGAGGGGAGCAGGAGGCAGTGGTCACGTGGCAGCCACAGTCAGGAAGCAGAGAGGTGAACTGACTGGCTTTCTTCTTTTCATTCAGTCCAGGACAGCAGCCATGCCACGCACATTCAGGGGCATCTTGCCTCCTCCATTAAACGTCTCTGATAAAGCTCCTCCTCCATTGAAGTTCCCTCACAGACATACACAGAGGTGTGTCCATTTGGTGCATCTAAAGCCAGTTGAGCTGATAATCAAGATAATGGTCCCAGGAGAGAATGAAATGAATGATTTTTGAGGAGAGTCTTTACTGAAGGAGGAAGCTGGGTAAAGAGAATTTTCCTGAATAAATACGGTGTGCGTGGGGAGCGGGGGATGACTGACTGAATCAGTGAGTGTGACAGTGATGATATTCAGCCTTACGTGACCTGTGGCAAGCCAGTCTCAGCTTTCCAGGACACCATCAGGGAGTAACGGAGCCATTCTCTTCGGCAGGCGTGGCACCGTCTGTGGAAGCCTTTGACAAGCTGGTGAACAGTATGGTGGCTGAGTTCTTGAAGAAGAGCCGAGTCCTTTCGGGTGATGTAGAGACTCATGTGAGTACCTTCCTCACCCCTCAGACAACACCAATGGCATCATGATTTCTCCTTTGTTTATTTTTCCTTCACTTATACCATCATTGATTTATCCACCCTCTGAGCGTCTGTTGATTCAAGCATCAAGTAGGTATTGTTCTAGAAGCCAGGAGTTCGGGGATGAATGAGACAGGAGAGTCCTGCCCCACTCCCACCTCAGAAAGTATTACCTTTGGGAAATAAAAGACATACATAACTATATAACCAACTGAGGTGTCATAGGTATGACCAAAAAAAAAAAATAAGGAAATAAACAATGATGTGGAAAGTTCTGGAATCAGGAGCCAGGGGTTGTATCTCAGGAGGTGACATTTGAGCAGAGATCTTAGTAGAGGGAGTGGTAGGGGTTGGAACAGAGTGGTCCAGACAGAGGAGAGGGTTAGAGCAGAAGCCCAGCAGATCCTGGAACAAGCTGTTCCCAGCAGAGCAAAAGGCTGCTGAGGAGGTGAGTTAGGGAGAGAGGTAGCTTGGAACCAGAGCCAGATAGAACCTGTTAGTCACAGTAAAGGACTTCCTTGTGTGCTTGGTGTGACAGGAAGCTACAGAAGGCACTGAACGGGGATTAGGGTGAATTCCTTTCTCTTTAAGAAAAGCTCCGCCAACAGAATTGACTCAGACACCCTTCTTCTTCTTCCTCGGGTCAGACTGAGGCTATTAGTAACACCTGTTAGGATGCTTCCGCCATCAGAAAATACAAAGTGTTGGCATGGATGTGGTGAAATCTGAACCCCCATGTTCTGTTGGTGGGAATGGAAAATGGCTCACCCATTAGGGAAAATGGTTTGGCAGTAGAGTAAACATGATCTCTCATTCAAGCACATACCCCCAAAGCAATGTAAACAGACTTTCAAAATGATATTTGTACACCCAAGTCCAGAACAGCATGAGTCACAATAGCCAGGAGGTAAAGGCAACTGAAATGTCTACAGACAGACAAATGCATCAAGGAACTGGGCTGTCTAGGTACAATGGAATATCATCCAGCTTCTAGAGGAGAAAACATATTGTGTGCTGTATGATGGGTGAACTTTGAGAGCATTGTGCTAAGAGAAATAAACTAGTCACAGAAAGGCATCCAATGCATGGGTCCATCTATATGAGGCATGCAGAGAGGCAAAATTGCTAGAGACAGAGAATGGGACGTAGATTACCAGAAGCAGGGTTGGGAGGCAATGAGGAGTTGTCTAATGGGTGTGATCTTTCTGGTCCATGATAGGAAAACCTAGAAATCTCACAGCATCATGAGTGTGATAGTGCTGAATTGTATAGTTAAGAATGGTTAAGATGGCCATGTGCTTTCGATGTTTCATTATCATGTGTGTGCATGTTCATGACTGTACACATATGTGGAGGCAGAGGTCAACCCCAGGTGTCTTTCCTCGGGTGAAATCCACCTTGCTTTTGAGACAGGGTCCCACACTGGGGCTTGATGCTTACAGAGTGGACTAGGCTGGCAGGCCAACATGTAAGTCCCAGGGGTCATCCTGTCGCCACCTCCCCAGCACTGGGATTGCAACTGGGCACATGGCTGGCTTTTTACATTGATGCTGGGGATCAAACATGGTGTTGGTGAAGCCAGCCCATTACTAGCTGGCTTATCTCTCCAGCCCTTTTTCTTATGTGTTTTTAAGTTATCGTGCAAAGTAATATGTGTCACTGTGGCATTTTCAAACCTGTGCATTGTTATACTGTGTTCCAGTTTCTCGCCCTTCCCCTGCTGTCCTTCTCCATGGCCCCCTTGGCCCTCTGGCTGGTGCCCTTCCTCAGATTGTCCCTACTTTCTGCTTTCATGCCACAATGTTCCATTGCTCTCTCTTCACGTTCTTACTATTTCCTCCACCACCATGACCCCCTTTCTAACAGACACACACACACACACACACACACACACACACACAGAGAGAGAGAGAGAGAGAGAGAGAGAGAGAGGGAGAGAGAGCGAGAGCGAGACAG